CTAGGAAAGCCAAGGCCACCTTGGGATAATTTTTTAGATAAAATTTTTTGATTAATTCTAGGTCTTTTGTTTTTCCAAATAAATTTATTGAAACATGATTGAATCATTGCTAACCAAGGCTTAGGCATTTTTAATGGGACCATAGAAAAAAGATATAACCATTTAGGTAAGATATAGGAATTTATAATATTAATTCTACCTATCCACGACATTTCCAAATTTTGAAAATATTTTTAATTTAAGGTTCATATCTTTCATTAAGATTAAAACATTTCTCTCCATTATATTCGAAACACTTACAGGGATTATTAGACCCAAATAATTTAATTCCTTGTCTGTCCAGATAAAATTATAATTCTGGGATAAATTATCAACCAAGTCTGAAGGCATATTAATGGTTAAGGCTATTGATTTTGAAATATTTAACTTGAAATTAGATATACAGGAGTATCTCTCAATTTCAAACATTAAGGGCCGGAGAGATTTTTCAGGGAAAGACAGGGTGACTAAAGTGTCATCCGCATATAAAGAAATTTTATCATCACATAATTTTATTTTAACAACGCTAATTAATAAGTTATTCCTAATATTAATGGCTAAAGGTTCAAGTGATAAGATATTTAATAAGGGCGAAAGAGGACACCCCTGTCGAGTTCCATTTTTAAGATCAAACCACCCTGCAGTTATATTCGGACCCACTGTTCTAGCTGAAGGGGAGGAATATAGAGCTAAAATAGCACCATATATCCATGCCGTAAAACCGAATGCCTTCAAGACTTCGCTTAAATATCCCTACCCGACCCTGTCAAACGCTTTTTCGGCATCTAAGGACAGGGCCAGGAGGGGAATATTATGTCTGTTTGACCAGTCAATGCTATCAATCAATCTCCGGGAGTTATTTGATGCCCATCTTCCAGGGATAAACCCGATCTGGTCAGGATGGATAAGTTTCGATATAATAACTTTAATTCTCTCAGCAATAATAGCTGAATATAACTTCATATCTACATTAATTTACGCAATCGGTCTATAATTGCACGGGTCGGTACCATCCTTATTCTGTTTCAATATGGGAACAAGAGTAGATTGTAATAATTCTTTTGGAATGGTTTTATTTTCAGCTAATTGATTAAAAAAATTGAGTAATAGGGTTTAATAAATGTGGCTTCATATGTTTATAATATAAATTTGTGAAGCCGTCAGGCCCCGGAGTTTTATTTATGGGAAGTCTATCTATTTAGTATTTAACTTCCTCCATAGTAATTTTCTTATTTAAAAGTACCAGTTCCTGTGAAGTAATACTTCTTTGTATTGTTATTCATTTCTGACATATATGATATACTAAAAATTTCTTTAATAAAAGATTATTAAAAAAAAAAAAAAAAGAGATCCCAGCTAAGCTTGTGGAGTCTTCTGCCTGTGGTGTCTGGTGCGGTGCTTATGGTCCTCAGTGTCAGCTAGGAAGCATATGTTGGCAGAGGTGCCCAGTTTGGGTGCCAAGTGATCCGTTACCGAAGTGCTCATGCCATTGTACAGAACACTGGTGAGACCTCACTTGGAGTATTGCACGCAGTAGTGGAGATCATATCTCCAGAAGGATATTGATACTTTAGAGAGAGTTAGGAGAAGGGCTACTAAACTGGTTCATGGATTGCGGGATAAAACATACCAGGAAATTTTAAAGGATCTTAACATGTATAGCTTGGAGGAAAGACGAGACAGGGTGGATATCATAGAAACATTATATAGCTAAAGGGAATCAAGGCAGTCAAGGAGGAGACTATATTTAAAAGAAGAAAAACTACCACGACAAGAGGACATAGTCTTAAATTAGAGAGGCAAAGGTTTAAAAATAATATCAGGAAGTATTACTTTACTGCGAGGGTAGTGGATGCATGGAATAGCCTTCCAGCTGAAATGGTAGACGTTAACACAGTAAAGGAGTTTAAGCATGTGTGGGATAGTCATAAGGCTATCCTAACTATAAGATAAGGCCAGGGACTAATGAAAGCATTTAGAAAATTGGGCAGAGTAGATGGGCCAAATGGTTCTTATCTGCCGTCACATTCTATGTTTCTATGTTTCTATGTCTACCAATGGTCAAGCATAGAAAAGTTAGCCAGTATAGAGTTACTTGAGTCTTACTGAATGTTTATAATCTACAATTAATCTATAAAATGATAGCTTGTGACCTGCTTCACTGATTTTCCAGTAGAGATGGATAGTGCATCCGTACGTGATAATATTAAAATCATACTGATTTGTCAAATTATGTAATTTGGGCAAAACTCACATCACAAACTAAACGTTCTGCTGGTCATTCAGTTCATAGACTTGCATTACTGCTATTCAGACAATCAGTTTTTGCATTGATAAATGGGAATACATAGTGATCCATGTTCTAGTTCAAACAAGCCTTGAACTGACGGATTCAAAAGGCACTCAAAAAATAAAATAAAATAAAATAAAAGGGGTGATAATTAAATTATAGACTTCAATGCTGAACTCTTGTGCATGCAAGAGAGTACAGCAGTCAGGGACGTTTTAGCCGCGAGGCAAACAAGGCATTTGCCTTGGGCGGCATTTTCCAGGGGGCGGCAAAAAAAGTCGCCCCCAAATGCCCAGGGCAAATGCCTTGTTAGCCTCACTGCTAACTGAAATGCCGGCCGGGCTGGCGGGCATCTGGCGAGGGAGATCTTCCTCTGAGTGGTCTGCTCAGCTCCCTCGCGCGCCGCAGAGTGAGGCTGGGAGCCGGGTTGATGACATCATATACCGGCTCCAAGCCTCACTCTGAGGCGCGCGAGGGAGCTGAGCAGACCGCTCAGAGGAAGTGCTCCCTCGCCAGCCGCCTGCCCGCCTGCCTGCCCGCCAAGCAGCCACTGGACCCCCAGGGATTCCCAAAGGTAAGGGGGTGGGGGGGGGGGTTAAAAAAAAAAAAAGGTGTTAATGTGAGTGAGTGTGTCTATTAGTGTGTGTGTCTGTTAGTGTGTCTGTGTGTGTGTGTCTGTTAGTGAGTGTGTGTCTGTTAGTGTGTGTGTGTGTGTCTGTTAGTGTGTGTGTCTGTTAGTGTGTGTGTCTGTTAGTGAGTGTGTCTGTTAGTGTGTGTGTGTGTCTGTTAGTGTGTGTGTGTCTGTTAGTGAGTGTGTGTTTCTGTTAGCTAGTGTATGCGTATCTGTCAGTCAATGTGTGTGTGTGTGTATTTAGAAGGCGGGGCGGGGGGAAGGGATGGGTGGAGGTTGCGGGAATGGCGGGGTTTGGGGGGTGCCTGAGTTTTGTCCTGCCTAGGGCAGCACAAAACCAGGATACACCACTGACAGCAGTGACGTTGGAACTTAAGAGGATCAGATGAAGATGGTCACAGCCATGAGTAACTGGTTCAGGTAAGCAAATCCTACTTATACCTTGCCCCCCTGCAACCGGACACCCAGCGGTGATGTTAGCATCAGGGGACTTTGCAAATTCAGCTGCTTTAAGTAATCATAAATATTACTGATTCATTTAAAGTCTGCTAAATTCGATTTTATAGGTCATTTAGAAGTGCGAAGCAAGATTCAGGCCATGCTGAATTGCTACCTGGTATTTGATAGAGTTTTACCACGTGCTGGCCTGCTCTTTCCCTTTGCAATGGTTAATATGGATGCAGATATCTTGTGTATGTTGGGTGTTTATAGCTGGCAGTAATGTGTCTTAAAAAACACTGTCAGTACAGATTAAACCCAATCACGTATTTACACCATTCTTTATCAGTATTTTTGCAGTATTTGAAGATCCATATTTAGCTTGCCCAATATTATTTTGCCAGTATTGAATTAGATCGGATTGATAAGTTGCAGCATTATGCCAATGTTCCACTTCAACAGACGTTTTGGTCTCTATTAAAATAAATTTACATTTTCCATTTGAATACTAATTTCAAATAGAAACTAGAACCCATAGCTGTCAGGCATTTTTAGAAAATGTTATCTGACAACTTAAAGCAAAAAGCATACGAATGCAAATAAATATAATATTGAGTTTGACTGTTTGCTTCTCATGGGAACAAGTTTGTTGTTGCTATTAGAAAGTTAATAGTTAACCTAGTACTATAGAATTTATTTAAATGTCACTATAAGCACCATAACCACCTCAACTTACTGAATTGGTGCAAAGAATTGCAGCCTTTCATTTTAGTAGTATTTCATTCCGATGTTAAATACCTTTTTTTTCTCTATAAATGTAGGTCTGCCCCCAGTCTGCCAGATGGAATTCTCTCTTCCTGGCAGGCAATGTTCATTCTGTGCAAGTTTAGCATCTGGAGTTAGCATACAAAGCACATACTGCATGCTAACTTCAGATATCTTGGACAGGCTTCCCATGGCCTGGTGGGTTATACTCCTAGTATCAATTCTCCTGCTGCCCATAAGCCATAAGGAAAAAACATAAATTGGTTGTATTTTTGATGCTACCCCCATCTCTTCCAGGTTGTAGTTTAGACCTATGTCCTCCATAATCACACAGGAAATTGTCAGAAGGAAAAAAAGAAAAGAAACACAAGCAACTCTTTTGGGAAATTTTATCTCATCAAATTAATTGCCAGAAGTTGCCTGCCCAAGCTATACCACAACCACCACCATACTCCTTTCTTAGCTCTGTTAATAGAATTGTTAACTCATTAATAATAACACATCTAAAATACCAAACTCAGAAAAAAGTAAAAAAGCACATGATGATCATTATAACCCAATTACTCAAACTGAACAAAGCCACCTGATTTATCACTAAAGGTGCTAGAGTATATACATTTAAATATAGTGCAGATATAAAATCCATTTCTAAACTGAAAATGATGTATTTGCAACAAATTGATTCCACATTCCGGAAACAGATAACTCAGTGTTAAAGAAAGTTATAATTTATAACATCTTTAAGGAGAAAAGAACCTCTACAATAAAGTGTGAATACATTGTTTGTTCGCCACAGACTCATCATTGAGTAAACTTTGACCCTGTACCTCACAGTCAGCAGACACATTCCAGCCAATCAGCAGCAGACCCTCCCTCCCAGACCCTCCCAACTCCTGGACAGCATCCATTTTACATTCATTGTGAAGCTGCATTCTTAGTGAGCTGTCCAGGAGGTGGGAGGGTCTGGGAGGGAGGGTCTGCTGCTGATTGGCTGGAATGTGTCTGCTGACTGTGAGGTACAGGGTCAAAGTTTACTCAATGATGAGTCCGCGGTGAACCGTTCGTGGCGAACCGTTCGCGAACCGTTCGGCACGAACGGTTCGGGACATCACTATTTGTCATGTCATGTTTCTATGCATGTCTGGTTTTATCATGCTAGAGAAATCAAAAAAGATGCAGTTGGTTATTATAAAAAGGCACCATGACATGCATATATCGTGTTTAGTCACTTGGCTGATGTACAGAACATTCAGTAGACTATTTTATGAATAGTATTTTTCCATTTAAAAATTTTTCAGAATAGAGAAAAGAGGTGATTATACTGCAAATTCTTCTCCCATGTGACAAAGTAACTGTTCTCCAGTTATAGCAAAATATGGCCTTGATCATTATGATCCCCGCCTTTGCACATTTTTATAGATAAGAAATAACGAGTTCCATTTAAAACATACATTAAACTCGTTTGTTAACGAAAAGATATTTTTATATCTCAGGTGTATATTAGAAAATTTTTAAAAAGGATTTATTCCCTTGCCCAGAAATACAATCCCCCCCCAAAACAAAATGTGCTTGTTCTTCCTGATTTGATATACTGTTCTAAAATTAAATGTATGTTTGCATGTATTTTTAGGCTGATATTTAAAGGACCACTATAGGCACCCAGACCACTTCAACTCAATTATGTGGTCTGGGTGCCAGGTCCCCCAGGTTTTAACCCTTCAGATGTAAACATAGCAGTTTCAGAGAAACTGTATGTTTACACTGCTGGATTAATCCAACCTCTAGTGGCTGTCTTCCTGACAGCCGCTAGAGGCGCTTCTGCAACGCTGAATGTGAAAATCGCATTGAGCACGCAGAACGTCCATAGGAAAGCATCGAGAAATGTTTTCCTATGGGCGTTTTTAATGCGCGCATGGCTCTGGCCATGTATGCACATTCCGCTCCACTCGGGAGCCGACGTCGGAGTGGGAGGAGAGGTCGCCAGAGCCGAGGGAGCCCGGAGCTGGATTAAAGTAAGTAACTGAAGGGGTTTTAACCCATTCTGCACCAAGGGAGGGGGGGACCTAAGGGCTATATAGTGTCAGGAAAACGAGTTTGTATTCCTGATACTATAGTGATCCTTTAAAGGGACAAAGGACAAGCATGGGACTAAAGAGGTTACGTTACATATTTAGAGCTATGTATTTAGCCCCTAAAGCCTACCTCCAACAGAGCCTAATTTAAGCATTTCAAAACCCTAAAAACATTGTTCCTGTTCCAGAAATACAACTGTTTTGCTTTTAAAAAGCTTACAGCATGTCCGTATATGTCTTTTCCCATAATATCTAAAGAAATATCTATATCTATATATTTAGAAACTTTGAGTGGTTCAGATCCTATCCAGCACAGTTTTTCGGTGATACGTATAATGCAATGTTTTTACTACTGTATAGAATGTGCATTTGGTATCTATACATATTTTATTTTATGTACTGGTTTCAATTTCTTCAGTTTCTTTATTTTTTTGATACTTAAATAGGTACAATACACAAAATACAATGCTTACATATGCAATGTACAAAAAGACAAATAAAAGTAAAAATGATAAACATGTTGCTCTAATGTCACAAGGGAAGAAACTAAGAGAAATTAATGTGTACAATGATGTGGATCCAGAACCTCATAATCATAAACAGTAATTGTTTGTTTACTGTCTAAATAACAACACCTGTCTGAGCCATATGGTGAACACTAAGAAAAACAGGATTTGCTTCTACGTTCAAACTTTGATTTAAAACTGAAAATTAAAACCACCTGTATGTTGAAGTCCCATAACATGCTGCCCTCACTACTAATATTATTGTCACTAATAAAACATTTTATACTGTAGTTTTTAGCTTTAGGATATTACTGTCATTAGCAGTATACCCAAATACGCAGGAAACTGGAACCCCGGCAGGAGAAATATAGATATACATATTACCGGGCCTTAGATGGCCAAACTTAACATAATAAAGAATGACAGAGAGAAAGTCAATAAACAAGCCAAGGTCAGGAATACAGATAGACGGAAAATCAATATAACAAGTCGGGTCAGGATAACAGAGATACTCAAATTTCCTATAGACTAGCCGTGGTCAAAATCCAGAAATACACAAAAGACTAAAGGAATGCACTAATTGGATAATAAGGCAAAAATCTCGCTAGGGTATTGAACTAGAGTCAAATTAAATAGGGTAAGTAGACTCTGATTGGTCCCCCTCACCCCTGCAACTCCAAAAAGTGCAGAAACAAGGTTGCTTGAGTGATGTGAATAATTCCGAAGCAGAAGTGATGTTAAAATGCACCATTCAAGCGAGCAGCATCCGAATCAATATGTGGAAGCAGGTAGCGCAACCAAATAGTGCATTCAACTTGTGAGAAATCCCAAATGGTGACATTGATCGGGAAAGTATTGTGACAATTACAACTCCTGATCATAGAACTATATTTCTGTAAATCCCATTGGGATTCCATGTTAGCTAGTACCATACATCTCCTCTGTGTTCTATGTACTCTATGTTCCTGCTTTAACAACTGAGATACTGTGTTTCTGTCAGTTTAACTTACTATTATCATCATTTTTATAGTGCCAACATATTCTGCAGTGCTTCATAATTAAAGAAAGGGATATTTACAGGTAAAAAAGAAGCTGCTTCATCGAGTTTTCAATCTATGTATTGAGGCAGGTGGCTACATGTCCTTGCTTAAAGACTCTGACTGGGGAGGTGGCCTGACCAGGATTACCACTGCTCTAATCAGACAATACATATTAACAGCTTGCTGATAACTAGCCAAAGAATAGGAAGGAAGCTGGTAGTTAGCCATCTTAGGTTAGTCCTGGTCTGATTCTCTTTGGACTTCTCTAGCTATACCTAGAAGGAAGCATTCCAGCCTTGAAAGCCAGGTCATTTTTATCTTGCTATATGATTGAGACACCCCAGAGTATACATGAAGTCATACGCTGATCAACCACAGCATCATATTTAAGTGTTGTACCAGCACCCATATCAATGTAACACTACCATTAACATATCCTCATTTGCTCTTACCATTTTGAGAAGAGGACATTTTCTGTGTAATATGCCTTATTGGACACTGCAGAGAAGATCCCTCCTCCTTTTACTCACATTGAATCAGCCCCCCATGCCGACTTCTGCACCCCCTCTCATAGAAAAGCCTGTGATTGGACCTATTGCTGCTTCAGAGTGTATGCACTTGCCAGAGGAATGAAGAAAGGAGGTGAAGAAAGAAAGAAAAACAAGAAACAATGTGCAACAGGGAGGAAGAGATGGGGAAGCTATCTTTATATGTACCTTTTTTTATGAATGGGGAGCTACTGATGTGCTTGGAGTGTCAGCTGACCGCTCTAACCAATCAGAAATGCCCCTGCCCAGTTGCACTTGGCGCTTCCTGTAACTCAGATTCAGAAGCTGGATGCCACTTGGGTGGCCATTAGATCAGTGTTTGAGGCAACCTTTGGGATTACACCAATCCAGAACAGGGGACTTCTGGCTCTATAGCAGCTTCATTTATGGTGGTCGGAGTGTCCATTTAAGGTGGCATATTGCCTAGGACTCCTTATACATTTAATCTGGCTTTTTTTTGTATTCATAAATACATCATAATAGTCAAAGTACATTGTAATAGGAAAGATACATTAAGGTAGAAATGAACAATTAGTCCTAAACGCTCTCTTTTATAATTTGTTTGAATAACTCTAAAATGTTTTAGCAAAAAATAATACATACCTTTTCCTATATTCACAAAATTTACTAGTGATTTTTAAGTGCAATTGTATGTTAGGCCATCATATATCTGCATATTTTTAATACATTATTTCATACATTATTTTAATAACTAACCTGTTTAGCCAACTGGTCCTTTTTTACCAACCCGGTAGCTGCTGCTATGTTCCCTGCACCTTCAACTGTCTTATGTGCTACGGCAGTCATCCCTGTGACAACAGCTCCTCCAACATTGGACACTTGTTCTTTGGTCTTTTCAGCAACTATTATGATAAAAAGAAAATTCATCAGCATTGGTTTAATTATAGGATTTGCTATTATTGCATAGACTATTGCAATTTACTAATTTGAATTAGAATTGTTTATACCATCTTAAAATGTATAGCTCATATTGCTGAATTCAGGTCAACAATTCATAAATAGCAAATATGGATTAGCCCATTTTTGCTATAGGTTAAACAGTTCTAAATCCTAACCTTCACATAAAAACTGAATTTATCCCAAAGACACTTAGAAGAAAGAAGAAGAAAACAAACAAAATAAAAACAGATCAATATTTGTATTTTTATGTAAATTTTTATGTTGTCTGTTTAAGATTATTGTTTGGATTGTTGGGAAATTTACTTAATATAATTTTCTACTTAGTTTACTTTTCAAAAGTAAATTTTGGGCCTGTGCAATTTTTGGCACCTGTTCTAAAGAATGATATTGTGGCACTGGAAGGAGTGCAGAGGCGGGCTACAAAATTAATAAAAGGAATGGAACATATCAGCTAAGAAGAAAGGTTAACACATTTAAACCTTTTTAGTTTAGAAAAACGTCGCCTGAGAGGGGATATGATAACATTATACAAATATATTCGGGGCCAATACAAACCATTGTGTGGAAATTTAGGTCATGCGCTTAGACTGGAAGAAAGAAGATTTCGTCTAAGGCACAGGAAAGTTTTTTTTTTTACTGTAAGAACAATAAGGATGTGGAATGCTCTGCCTGAAGAAGTGGCTTCATCAGAGTCCATACAGATGTTCAAACAGCTACTAGATTAGAAGGATTTTTTTTCCTAGCTTGTTGCAAAATTGGACGTGCTTCAAACTGGGTTTTTTTGCCTTCTTTTTGATCAACAGCAAAAAACAAATGTGAGGAAGGCTGAACTTGATGGACGCAAGTCTCTTTTCAGCTATGTAACTATGTAACTATGTAAAAGTGACATTGCATTTTTAACAACCTTAGGTGGAGAAAA